TACATTTTTTATTATTTTAAATGAAATGAAAAAATATTATCATATGGACTTGTAACATTCATATACAAACATGTCATCAAGATACATATAATTGTGTCGGATATTCCCCTCCATTCCTTTCAGCATCAGAACAATGATATATCAATGTGACCGATTTTTTTATTGTATCAAAAATTTGATCCTATAGTTATGATGCTGGTTTAATTTCTCTTGAGTTTTTTTTTTTGTCTCGGTGTTATTGCTGCTTAAAATTGCTCTAAATTACTGCATATTGTGGTTTGTGTAATATTATTTTGCCAAGCATTTTGTCAAGTCATAATCTTCAGCCCTTTTCTTTGGATTAACCACGCCATTGTGTTGTATATTATTTATACCATTCATTTTATTAACAGTGTTATTGTTGTTCTCAATTCTTTTTTCGTCCCCGGCCGGAGTAAGTGTAATAATTATATAGAATATATGTAATATAGATTAATTATTTGAAGTCAATAATTCCATTATGCACGTTTTATAATTATTATCTAACTAATCCATATTTTAGTCCGTCTGAGCTTGTGATTATATCTTTGTTTTTTGGTATTTTTTTGTATTTCAAATGAAATGTTTTAGAACTGAATATATGAGCCGCGCCATGACAAAACCATCATAGTGCGTTTGCGACCAGCATGGATCCAGACCACCCTGCACATCCGCGCAGTCTGATCAGGATCCATGCTGTTCGCTATCAGTTTCTCTACTTGTTATAGGATTTCTAAGAGAACTGCATGGATCCTGATCAGACTGCGCGGATCAGATCAGATCCATGCTGGTCGCAAACGCATAACGTTGGTTTTGTAATGGCGCGGCTCATATTTTAATTTTTAGAATACATGAAGACAGATATTTGTCCAGTCAGTTAGAATAATATACTAGTAAATTAATTTCATGTAATACGGAGACACGTATAATGAAATTATAAAGGGGGCGTCCGAGCCCAAATGGTTAACGTTGTTGACTTCAAACCACTTTCCCCTCATTGCAGTGGGCCCGAATCTCACAAAAGGCTTTGGAATCTTTCATGTGAGGAAACTATCTCGCTAGCTTGAGGAACGTCGATGGTTCTACTCACTACTCGGGTGCCTGCTCGTATCTGAAATAATTAATACATGGAGGTGCAGCTGAAGTAGTACTCTGCCAGTAAAGCTAGAAAGGCGCCATTAGACATTTACTGTGTTGATGCGACTTAAAGCACAACTGAAACAATTAAAAAAGGAATTTTAGCGATATTTCCATTGTGAGATAATGACTTTCAAAAAATACAGGACATCGTATAAAATATTCAATATAGTCCAAGTAACAATTTCATTTTTAAAGACGGAAGAAAATCGATGTTTGATCAATTTGAAACCTATAAGTCTATATTTAAAGACGTGTTTTACATGTTTTACTTTTATTTATTTTTAAATGTTGTTGTTTTTTTTTTTTTCAATAAATTATTGAATTGACCGTCTAAATTTCCTTTTATTCAAGATAACATAGGGATCATACGATGCGCGCGCATCGTTTAAGTTCTGATCGCGCGAACACGCAAATGTCCATTAAAACAATTTCAGACGACTGGACGTTAATTCATTGTAGAATCTATTTCAAAAATACATTTACATTCTTTTTTCTTTCTCATCTGTACGAAAAATGTCTTAAAACGCACTATTAACAGAAAAAAATGCGAAACTGCGTACACACTAAAATAATCAAGATACTGCGTACACACAGAAACGTCTTGTTTCATTGATACTGCATGCGTACACTTTCTCCGAAGCAGTCTGTGGTCCATTATGGGATAAAGTTGGTATGACAAGCAAAACAAATGTGGAAAAAAATCTTTAAAATGTACATCCTATATTTAAAATGTAACTCCTAGAGAAAGGTAGGAGTTAAATAAGTTTCATACAATTTAATTGTTTATACATTTGTGTAACATCTGCGTGGTGATTTACTGTTTATGCTGATTGATGAACGTTTGACAGTCAAATTTCTATCTCATTTTCTTGTCGATTTTTGTGGCGAATTCCGCGCCCAGACATCATGAAGGACAACATCGGCAAGATGGTCCTTACAAATGTGACCTATGTAGTAAAGTGGACCACGTACACGTTAATTAAATAATGTAAATCAGTGGTTGAGGATCACTGACGTCCAAAACACTGGGTCGTGTATCTTTAAAAGCTGGGACGTTTATAAATACTATTAAGTATAGATACCTTCTGTCCCTGTAAAGTAAAGACAGACATCTGTGAAATATCAGATTATAAAATTGGTCTATCTTGCAGTCGAAATATTGAGACTAGTATCAGACTTGCAGGCCTATAACTTATATAAGTAATGATGTAAATCTACAGGTATATACGGTGGCATAGAGGTGACATTTGCAGTTTTATTTTATCTCGTGGCCACGACTTATTATCTTGAGGCCTCAAGATATTATCTCGTGGCCACGACTTATTATCTTGTGGCCTCAAGATATTATCTCGTGGCCACGAGTTATTATCTTGTGGCCACGATTAGTTATCTCGTGGCCACGACTTATTATCTTTGTGGCCTCAATATATTATCTCGTGGCCACGAGTTTATTATCTTGTGGCCACGACTTATTATCTCGTGGCCTCAAGATATTATCTCGTGGCACGAGTTATTATCTCGTGGCCACGAGTTATTATCTTGTGGCCTCAAGATATTATCTTGTGGCCTCAAGATATTATCTCGTGGCCACGAGTTATTATCTTGTGGCCACGACTTATCATCTCGTGGCACGACTTATTAATATTGAGGCACGACTTATTATCTCGTGGCCCGAGTTATTATCTTGTGGCCACGACTTATTTCAGCCAATGAAATAGGTCGTTTCATCTCGAACAAAAAGTTAATAAAAATAAGACTTATATCACACTGGCCACAGCTTTCACAAGAGCGGCGGGTCAAACGCTGCGGCGGTGAAGAAGGGAACGTTTTATAATTATTCTTCTTCTTTTTTTATGGTCAGGTGTTTCTTTCATTCTTTTTTTAAGATATACTTTGCTTAAATTTAATATTAGAAATATTGATAATTGTTACATAGTCCCTTTGTAATTAAACATAAAATAAACATGTTATGACTTCACAGATAGTAGATATGTTATGTTTAAAATTCTACACGTATAGGTGTTCACCATAAATATATATGGTGTCAGTTTTTTTAAGTAAAGATTACTTGACCTGTTATAGGGAACGCAGCTTCCTGTACATAGTTTATTGATTTCTTTATTCAAGTTAGACGCATTAAGTTGGAATATTATAGATTAAAAAAAAATGATGTGATTTTAATTTTCAAGGATGAGCACGGTATATCTAATTTAATTGAGATTTAATTAAGAAATATATGCGTTTGATGTATACTTTTAAGGTCGTTCATTGAAATAACTTGCCCACTTTCCCTGTGGATTCGAATCCCATTAAAGACTTGTATCTAGATAGTTATTATTGAAAAGATATACTACAATGTCACAATGATCAAATGACTAACTTTTGACGGGTTATCTGAATCTTTTTCTTTTTTTTCATTATAACAACTGACAATATACAAGTTTCAAAAAGACATATATATCAATTCTTTTAAGATCTCTCTTTGATTGCTACTGCTACTGCTGTGCTATTGCTGACTGACATTTTCACGTTTTATAATTTTGCTACTGCTACTTCTGTGCTACTTGCATATTTTATAATTTTGTTACTGCTACTACTCAATGCTAACTGCTAACTTCCTACCGGTGATGACCACTTATAAAAGTGAGTGTATTTTATGAAAACTGCATCTACAGAACTTGATCCTTAAACGTTAGGACCTTAAGATAAGAATACAGAGGGCCAATTAGTGATGACAAGACCTCTACTCAGTGGACGTGTTAATGTGGTCGATACAGTTTATAGTGATATACTAGCTGATTAGCCCTTACTGAAATTCAGCACGTCTCTGTAAAAATGCGTGAACTTAAGTGAATATATGGTGGTGATTGACACGCCCCTCCTGTGACTGCTATTGCCAGTGTGATATTAAATTTGTTCAAGATGAAACGACCATTTTCATTGGCTAAAATAAGTCGTGGCCACAAGATAATAACTCGTGGCCACGAGAAAATAAGTCATTGCCACAAGATAATAACTCGTGGCCACGAGATAATAAGTCGTGGCCTCAATATAATAAGTCGTGGCCACGAGATGATAAGTCGTGGCCACAAGATAATAACTCGTGGCCACGAGATAATATCTTGAGGCCACAAGATAATAACTCGTGGCCACGAGATAATAACTCGTGGCCACGAGATAATATCTTGAGGCCACGAGATAATAAGTCGTGGCCACAAGATAATAACTCGTGGCCACGAGATAATATATTGAGGCCACAAGATAATAAGTCGTGGCCACGAGATAATAAGTCGTGGCCACAAGATAATAACTCGTGGCCACGAGATAATATCTTGAGGCCACAAGATAATAAGTCGTGGCCACGAGATAATATCTTGAGGCCTCAAGATAATAAGTCGTGGCCACGAGATAAAATAAAACTGCAAATGTCACCTCTATGCCACCGTAGGTATATTCTAATAAATGCCTTAATGCTAATATGTTAAGCTAGTTGTAATCAAATCAGATACAATTTGTGGGTGTTTGCCTACTAACTGAAAACAAACTATATATACTTATGTTCAAGGTCTTTCAAATATTTGAAATACCCTGGTATGTTTCATAAAGACTCAAAAATATAACTCTGAATGGAATTTCAATTAAACAAAAGTTATACACTCATCAAATGTTAAGATAAAAATACAGTCTAACAAAATTACTGTAAGAAAGAAAAAGAAATATTTTTACCACAGATATATAAATAATATTAAGCACAAAGCTTATATTTAGCTCCATGTCTTTACTCATTTCAGGCTTACACTATTTAGTGTCTGGATACCTTCGTTCATCAAATCTCATAGTGTAAAAAAAAACACGCTGTCACCGTCAAGCGTCTGCAACAGAAGAATTTTTTAGGGTTTGGTGTTTTATGTTGCTAAACTATTTGTATGAACGATACTAGTTATTAAATTTTAATGTTAAATGTCTACAATGGCAAACAGAAATCCAGAGGATAGTTTTACTACGCCGAAAGCAAAAATACCAGGACTTCCCGATTATGGATGGCGTGTCAATCTCGATCACCAGTTTACAGAAAAATGCAAGCCTTTTCAGTCGCCGAGATTAAGTCAAATTCCGTCTTTAGTCGGCCTAGGGTTAAGGTTTGTTGTTTCAGATGTTATCTGTCATTCCACATTTCATCCAGTGTTTTGCTACTGGGGCCTGGGCTAGTTTTAGTAGTAACTAGATCTATTAAATTTATCTATACGGTAAACTTGGCTTTCAGGTTTTTTTTCCCCAAGGATTTTGGGAACATGACCTATACCCGTGAAATTGAGAACTTCAGTGACGTTTTGTTAAAATTTTGGGAAAATGCATGACTTAAATTTTGCAGTGATTAAATGAATGCAAAGAATCACAGGATGGCATCTTCAAACATTATTTAGCACCATCACAGTGATGAAGCACTTTATTTTCAAAGTTTTTACTATTTTAGACTTTGTTATTCAATATTCTTATTTTGTAACAGTATTGTCATTTGGGAATTTTTTCCTGTGGATTTGGAAAATAATATACTATTTTCAATGGGGAATATGACCGCGTATTAGAGGTGCAACGATACCTTTCGATGCATCGAAAACCAGTTTTATGAGGGCCGATTCGATTCCCGATACCAAGGCTTACAGACACTTCACCCCCCAGACACTTCACCCTAGGCCCTTTTTTGCAGACACTTCACCCCTCAGACAGTTCACCCCTCATTTTAAGAAATTTGATTGAGACACTTCACCCCTCATTTTTTTTTATTTTGTGTTTAACAATTATTTATGTAGATTATGTTAAATACATTCAATAGTGATTGAGTATGTTTATTGTTTTAACCCATTGTCTAATAAATTTTGAGTTGATTCAATTCTTGAAGTTTTGGTACTTAAGTTTGTTTTCAGTTTGATCTTTACCATATAATAATCATTGAGTTACACTCATTTGGTGATGGTTTGTGCTTTAACCTTGTGCTTAATTTACATAACTGGTGCTATTTATTTGTTTAATAAATGACATTATGAATGATCTTTGTATGAAATGCAGGATAATTGTGTCTGATAATGATGATAAATAATTTATATTTACTATATTTTATAAAGCAACCGATTCATTCATTCATATTCATTTATATCATTTTATTTATTAAGAATTTATTTATTAAGAATAAATTTAATTTTCATACAATTATACCATTTTAATTCAATTATCTAATCAATTGTGAGATAACCGTTGAATAAACAACTAATCAACATGTTGAATAAACAAGGTGACATGCAATAAACACTTAATGGATGAAAGTGCTGTGATATATCATTTGGCAATACAACCAATTAACCTAAATCAGCTTTAAACTTAGTAAAAATAAAGGTAATAAGCAAAATTTTTAATCAAATAATACTAAAAATAATAAATATAAACATATATAAGCATTTTGTTGTTGACCAACTTGTTTTATTTACTTTATAGAAAAAAATTGGATGAGGGGTGAAGTGTCTTACTGATTTTGGGGGGTGAAGTGTCTTAACCCATTACTTCATATACACGCCTTTTAACGCCTTTTTCACCCCCCCCCCCCTTTTTGTTGTCTCAAATGGTGAAAAAAATGCCTTATTTAGGCCCCCAACACTTGTTTTTGTTTGAGAAATGTTGTTAAAAAAAATGACCAGTTTTTCGGCGCGGCCCCCCAACCAAAAGATACATCAGGGGGTTGCCAGAAGGGGGATGTGCCCCCATTCTGTTTGGGGGGTTTGAAGGGGGGCGGAGTCCCCCTCATCGCCAAGAAAATTTTGGACTTGTGAGAGGCTATAAATGACCTAAGATTGATCATAAGGTAAGGTGTAACCAACGCTGAAAAGCATTTGACTCTATCTCAATCCATTGAGAAGTTGCAGCACTTTGAAATCAATTATGATGGAAAAAATCAACGCAAAATAGTGATTTTTGGCAATTTTGAGATGTCCCCTCGTTGCCATGGTAACAGAAAATTTAAGCCTGAGCATGTTGTTGCAAGGGCAATGGTCCAGTCAACATTTGTGCCAAGTTTGATTAGTGTTGAAGCAGTTTTTATAGTATTATAGCAATTTGAACTTGTAACGGGAGACTTTTCAATGAAAACAGCCATTTTTCACAAAATGCTCATGAAGTAATGGGTTAAGGGATGAAGTGTCTTCAAAATTTGAGGGGTGAAGTGTCTGGGGGGTGAGGTGTCTTGCTACCGATACCAACTGTAACATTTTCGATTCGATTCCCCACCCAAAAATAAACATGGAAAAAGTGAGAGTTTTAGTCTTTCCCTTCGCGCTTTATCACATTACATACGATTGGCCAGTTAAAACTCGGTCATCCAATCAGTGGGCGCGTAATGTTTTATTTTTTGGCAAACAAGTCAAAATGGCTACCAACATCAATGTTGATAACATGAAATTTAAAAATCGTCCTAAAAAATTAAAATCAAAGGTTTGGGAACACTTTGGGTTTCGGGAAGGCCAGGACATGGATAAAGCTACTTGCAAAATATGCTTTACGGACGTGTCATATCCAAAGTCCGGCAGTATGTCTAATTCAATGCAACATATGAAACAAAACATGATGTGGACTTGTTTGGTAAGCATGACATGCCTAGTTTAAGTTCAGCAAAAAGGTCTGTTTGTAACTTAGTTACTAGACTAAAAAGTATTGTTTGACAACACTGACATTAGGATTGAATATTCATTTTACATATTATGGGAATTATAAACAAAATATCTGAATATCAGTTCTGCAACCTTGTGAAACTTTGTTCATTATTTATATTATTTACTTTACAATTTACATACTTTGTTAAATTCCTAGTCAGCAGAAGGTATCTGTGATAGTCATATTACTGAGATTAATGATTATTTGTCTGATTAGAATTATTGTCCAAATAGACAAGAGATTTTTATTCTCATAAACACAATTATTAAGTCAAATAAGTTAATATAATAGTTATATTACAACAGAAAAGCAAAGCACTAGGTTGAAGGCCACTCACTTTTGAAGCAGACAAGCAGAATTATATACCAAAGATAAATTAGTAATCAGAAATGTATCGAATCGAAAAAAATCGAATCGGAGTGTCTAAAATCGAAATCGAATCGAACATTTGGTGTATCGTTGCAGCCCTACCGCGTATCGGCTATAAATTAAGGCAAAAAATCCATTGTTACAGGTTTGTAAACATCATTTTAGCAAGTAGTCAAAGTGTAAACGATATTGTTCATAAACTCATACAAAATAAGACATAAAAAAAAGCTTTCAAGGCTTTTAAAAGTTTCAGTTAGTAGTTTTCTAATGCACACATAATCATTACTCTAAAATCACAGTGTAGAAACCATAACTATATTGTTGCACATGGGTATTGCATCAGACGCATCACAGCAAATATTTAGTGTTCTCATTTTTGAAGGGGGCAGCTTAGCCTCTCACTATTACTAGCTCTAAATTAATAAACAGGTCAATCTGGCTAAAAACTACAGCCAGTAGAGCAGAGGAGAAACAAACAAAAAAGACTTAGCATTTCATCTTGACCTTTTTTCAGGTACACTCATCATACATTAAAATGTTACATGAAAGGGCGTCGTCCTCACATGGACTTTGTGAATCCTGTATTGCATAAACCAATATATGGTAAGAAAGTTAACATTATTTATTTTGTTTATCTTAAATTAACCAATTGATGAGTGATTGTACATAGTTCATTGTATTTTTTTCAAATCTTTGTTTAGATTTTGATTTTTTTTATGTTTCATAAATATACATAATATGAACATTGAATGGTTAATATGAAAGTACAAAGAAAACAACAAATTTTTTACCTTTACAGGATCACCTCTTGGTGGAATAGGATCTGGAACAATTGGACGTGGATATCGTGGGGAATTTTGTAGGTTTCATATGGTACCAGGAATATATGATTATCATACAGTCCAAGCTGATGCTGTAAGTCAGGAATTCATATAAAAACAACAAGTTGTAATTGTTCCATGTTTGAACTATTTCCTTTAGATATTCAGGAATGATTATAATGTAACTATAGCTGTATTGAAGTTGTATATAAAGACCAGATTTGAATTATCAAAATGCTAATTTCCAAAAGGATAATTTAAGTAATAATACTATATAATTTTGAAGAGTGACCTGGTTCTAACGGTAGAATATGGCCGGCTGTTATTGCAAATAATGCTTCTTTTTATTTTGTTAAGTATTGTTTCATTTCAAATAAAAAAAGATTGTTTAAAATTGGAGTTTTCAGTCATTAGTATCAAATGTGCTTATGTAACATGATCAGACTGAAGAATACATATCCAGCTTTATAATTGCACAGTCTAAGATTATTGATGCCAAAATAATGATTGTGTTTAAAAGTACAGTTACTCAACTTACTGCTGGACTGAAACAAATGTTTATCAATTAATTAAGAACTCTAATGATGATTGCATCCAAAAAGATTTTAGCAGAGTAAAAGTGCCAATATTTTTAACTTGTAATCTGGGAACAAGAAATTAAGATATTTATCTGGTAAAATTTAGCTACTTTCTGTTTCATGTAAATGTTAATTTATATACCCATGCACTGCATTTGTGAAATTTGATGTAATTTTATTACAACAGAGAGAGAGAGAGAGATCAAACCATTCGATGTAGGTTTTTAGCTTTATGCTAATGTTTTAACTAACAAATAAAAATTATTGAATGATAACTACAAAATTTTGTTACCACTAATATATTGAAGACAGTTTCAATTATTTCTTGTTTTGCAGTTTATTTTGTGTATACGTAAAAATGGAGAGACTGTTTACCAGAAGGTATTGACTGGTCACAGAGTTAGTAAATCATTGAAGTCTTGGCAGTGGGAATTTCCTCAAGGTCTAGGTCGAGCCACCTACCAGACACTGTACCCTCGTGCATGGACTGTGTATAATATTCCAGAATTTAAACTTAGATTGATCTGCAGACAGATTTCACCAATAATCCCTCATGATTACAAGGTAACATTTTTTTATCACATATTTAATACATTTGTTTTACCTTTCCAAACAGCAGCTTTATCAAAAATGTCCTATGTCATCAATAATACAATGCCAAACAAACATGTAAAGCAGTAAAGCAACTGTCCACAATTTATGTTGATTTCTTATGAATATTGAAAAAAAATAATATTAATCTGATTTTTATGCCCCCACAATGTGGGAGCATATAGCGTTGCACTTGTCCGTCTGTCCGTCAATACGTCAGTCCGTCCGTCAGTCCGTCCGTACGTCCCGAAATCTTGTGAACGCAACTCCTCTTAAACCGGATGGCAGATTTTGCTTAAACTTACAGGGATGAACAACCTTAATGTGTAGATGGTAGTAAAGGAAGGAATTTTTGCTGCGACCAAATTTAACAGAATTATGGCCCTTTGTTGATTTTTTCACTAGATACTATGTAGAATTTTTGTGAACGCAACTCCTCTTAAACTGGATGGCAGAATTTGCTTAAACTTACAGGGATGAACAACCTTTATGTGTAGATGGTAGTAAAGGAAGGATTTTTTGCTGCGACCAATTTTAACAGAATTATGGCCCTTTGTTGATTTTTTCACAATATACTATGTAGAAATTTTGTGAACGCAACTCCTCTTAAACCGGATGGCAGATTTTGCTTAAACTTACAGGGATGAACAACCTTCAGGTGTAGATGGTAGTAAAGGAAGAAATTTTCGCTGCGACCAAATTTTACAGATTTATGGCCCTTTGTTGATTTTTTCACTATATACTATGTAGAAATTTTGTGAATGCAACTCCTCTTAAACCGGATAGCAGATTTTGCTTAAATGTCCATGAATGAACAACCTTAATGTGTAGATGGTAATAAAGAAAGGAATTTTTGCTGCAACCAAATTTAACAGAATTATGGCCCTTTTTTGATTTTTTCATTATATACTATGTTGAAATTTTGTGAATGCAACTCCTCTTAAACCGGATGGCAGATTTTGCTTAAACTTCCAGGGATGAACAACCTTAATGTGTAGATGGTAGTAAAGGAAGGAATTTTTTGCTGCGACCAAATTTAACAGAATTATGGCCCTTTGTTGATTTTTAGTTTTCAACTTGTGGCACATGTAGTCCAAAAAATATTTGACCTAGAGTCATAAGATTGACAGAACAGTGGCGTGTGGGGGCATCCGTGTCCTATGGACACATTTCTAGTTTGAACTTATATCCAATCAACAAAAATTAAGATATAGGCTTGTTGCAGAAAATTACTAACCATGACAGTTATCTTTTTTTCAATGAAAACAAGGGTCAGTTGAAAATTGTTGAACTGGTATATTTTCTTTAACATTGTGCTACTTGTACTTTAATACAATTAAGGATTACCTCCCTTACAGGACTCCTCTTTTCCTATGACTGCATTTATATGGGAGGTAGAGAATCAGGGGACAGAAAGTTTAGATGTTAGCATCACATTCTCATTTAAGGTAAGACCTTTAGATTTTGAAGTTATGTAGTGGTTAGTTTGATATCAGATTTAACTATGCTTTACATGTAGTTAATGTGATTTATACAGTTTATAAGAACAACACCACCAACAGTTAAAACAATCTGCAATAAAATAAGATTCAGGATCGTACAAAATAACTCAGGACAACTCCAACTACGAAAAAAATCTAAGAAACAGACAAATACGGATGACAGCGAAACAATCAACATTGATGACATTACTACAAACATTCAAGCGCCTATCTCACCTCTACCATCGACACCTGTAAAAACACGTTCACCAGATGCAGTAGCCAGTACATCTTCAACATCTACAGTATGCCTGGATGAAACATTAATGTTTAGTGACACTAATGAACAAATTATTTCCGTATCATCCATCTATGGAACATTCCAAAAATAAGAAAACACGTAACTCAGAAAAACTTTGGTATCTTTATTATTTTGATTATTATATACTATATATACACAATTAACAACTTTCTGGCACTTAGCCAACTCTCATTCTATTTTTAGAAATTTTTGATAATATTTTTGGTAAGTCATGTGACTTACCATCCTATACATTTTCAATACTTCAGACCCAAAATTCTGTTAATTTTTTATCCTGATGAAGACCTCACGGTAGGTCGAAACTGGTAGATAATTAAATAATATAAACATTCCTGGTGTTGACGTGTAATTTTCTTCCTACTTTACCTTATCTTGATAGTTTATAATAAGGTCAAAAGTTGAGGTCAGATTTTGCATGCCCTGATGTATCTTATATGAACATAAAGTTGTGAACAGGTGTTGAACATTGTATGTCTGTTATCTTTTCACATTTATTGAATTATTTCCTTATTACCACACATTTTAATCATAGAATTTGTCAGATTACTTCCATTAGGGAAAATATAATGAGTTTACAATATTGATTTTAACAGCAAACATTTTTAAAATGTTATAAATAAAGATTACACAATTTGAAATTCATAGCAGGGAAAAAATCTGACATGTTTTCACTTTCAAAGTTTTAGATATATTTGTAATTTACAGTAAGATAGTCTGCTTTATTAGTTACTTAATAATTTTACTTTAAAATAAACTTTGATGTGTATGTAGAACTGAACTAGATAAAATTCTAAGTTTAATATTTTTTTGTGTGCCCTCTATTGTCCTCTATTGTAATGCTATAAAGCACAACTTAAATTAATAAGACATTATAATTATTAACCTCCTGAATTTTTCAAATGTACATGTCCATCTTTCATTTATAGTAATTATTATAATTAATTTTAAAGGCATGAAAATTTGAAGATGGTCAGCCAACAGTACAGAGCCTGTTCAGAACGACGTGCAGGTTGACCTGGCTCTATACTGTTGGCAAAGGTTTATGACAGGGTGGTCGAGTGGTAAATGCATCAGACTCCTAATCTCCGGATTGGCATGGGCTCAAAACCCATCAGGGGCAAGCCATTGCTTTCTTGAGCTAGAAGTTTTACACTCATTGATAAGTACTGGTATGTTCCAAGAACGGATAAGATGGTGTTTCAATAAGCTTTTAGCTTACAACACAATCAAACTAAAATAAATTGGTAAAAATTTAAGGCTTATCACTTTAGGTTTCAGCAGGGTAAAAGTTAATAATCTATATACAATGTAGTATACATATAGAACATTTAGATACAACATTTATTCACAGAATGGAACAGGTGGAAAAAGGGATCATGCAGGTGGATGTTGGACAGAATCATTTGAGAACAAAGAAGATGAAAGCACTACCTCAGGTGTAATGATCCATCAAACTATGTATGATATGTCATGTACATATGCTATAGCTGCAGTCAAAAAGGTAAGTCATTGTGCATATCCTCCTCCTTGATGATCTCATTCATTGTTGACATATAATGAGCATCTCTCAAAATAAATTTTGTTTTATATAAAAAAAGAAGCAAAAAAAGAACCCTACATATTTTTCAAAAATAGCGTGGTATGAAACAGTTGTACTAACCGGACAACCACCAAACCCCAAAAAAGCTTAATTTGTTCATTGGTTGAAAATCTATCAATCACTTTTTTAACAGCAATAAATGAATGTTTCTTCTATCAAAAATTTCAAGAATGCCGACTTTGAAAGTTTGGGCGTTAAGAGTGCAATACCTGACCTGATATACATGTACCATCATTTGCAGAGTAAACAATAGAATATCCAAACTTAAGCATTTACTGCTGAAATATTGTATATAATGTTAAAAATGAAAAATTAAAATACCCAAGCATTTAACTGAATTAAATCATATCATGTACATATCTGTCCGGACACATGGTACTGTAGTGTACTCAATTTAGGTAGTTTTGATACCCTCTTTGACAAGCCTTAGATATAAGTGTCAATATAGTCAGAAATAAACAAGCTAGTGTGTTAGTTAGGTGAAGAACCTAACTGTACTGTGTCAAATTTTCAGGCCTCTAGATTTGAAATTATGAAATCTGTATGAAAAAATGTTCAAAAAGTGTCCGATTCATGGTCCCCAACCAGTATGTTTTCTTATAAAATAGGTAAAAAGAATATGATAGTTTTCTCAGAAGTGAAGGTTTCTCTACTTCTCCTGGAATATTTGATGTGAGATAAGATGTAAACCATACTAATGAAAAACCTTGGCAGCCCCCTTCCTCTTTATCATTATAATGTCAAAACAAAAACAAAACAATTTTATTACTCTTTGTATTAAATAAAAATTCACTGAAAGTAAATTTCATATTTTCATATTAACAGGATGGTGTAGACGTGAGTCATTGTCTGAACTTTGACCCCCATGGTGCAGGCACTGAAGTATGGAATGAACTAAACTCTCATGGAAAACTGGATTCCAAAGAAGGTTTCACAAGTTGATTACATCTTTAAAATATTTAACCCTTCGATAATGATATAAGGTGTTTACTGTTGAAGAGTCTTGAATTTTTTGTTAAATTCCAATTAATTTCTGCTTTCTGTTTTATTGGATGCACATGTGCCAATGTTGAACTAATGAAACACAATTGCAAAATGACAGATAAGTCTGAAATATTCATTCGTACATGCTCCATTGTCATCTCTGAATCTCTTTGTTTTTAAATATTTATGTACAAGTCCAATTCTAAAAATTGAGTCTGAGATAATCTTTTCCAAGCTAAAACATATTCTATTCATAACTTATATTCTATGTATAACATCTGCGAGGTTGGTCCACCAAACTCACTGTCCTAGATAAGTAATCAGTAACTACTGATTTCTCTACAAGTGACTGACTTCATCAGTGAGAGACAAATGATCATTAGACTAAATGTCTGAGATAAGTTATCATGGGGAAAATCTCTCTCCCTTATCAAGTTAACATTTCATTTGTTTTCAAATTTTTGATGTTGAGACTTTTAATTACTATGTTCAATAACAAAGAAATTATTTGTAATCTTTGATACGTATTTCATGCATATTCACATTTTAATAGTAGAAGTCAAATTTTAGACAGTTCCTTGAGTGGTCTCTCAATACAATGTTGACTGTATTCAAATAGTGTCTTTCAAACCTTTGATTAACGTTTTTGCAAACAGCTATTTCATGAACATTTTTATATGAAAAGCATTTAGTAGACAAGAAAATATACATTTTGTTATTTTAGGAACAAGTGAGAAGACAAGGAAAGGTAAAGAGATTGGAGCAGCAGTATCATCAATGTGTACAGTAGCTGGGGGTTCAACAAACACTCTTGAATTTAGTCTCGTCTGGGACATGCCAGTTGTTATATTCAGGTCAAAGGAAGTGCAATATACAAGGTATAAATAACATTGTCATGTGCTTTTTTGTGTAGCCCTGGCAGTTATTACTTGTTTATTTCTATCTGTGTAGGTCGTTGACTTTAAACCACTTGCCCTCACCACTGTGGGTTCAAATCCTGACAGGGACTTTGAATTCTTTCATGTGAGGAAAGCTATCCAGCTAGCTTACGGAACATTGGTGGTTCTATTCAGGTTCCGATTCGTGCTTGAAGTAATGTACGGAAGACCTGAGGTCTTCCTCCACCAGTAAAGCTGGAACATTGCCATATGACCTATACTGTGTCGGTGTGATATAAAACCCAATCAAACAAACATTCAAATCTCTCTGTGTAGAGCTTAACCAGTCTGCATATTTAATCAGTCTGATCAGATTCTAGTGCACTGTTGGCTTTTCAAATTTGTTAACTTTTATATTTGAAAACACAATACTTGCAATACCCAGTTCCATTTCAAAGTAAGAACTCATTAAACAATATAAACAGGTGAACATTAAGTTGATTTCTATTTCAGTTGTTTTATATTACATCAAACAGGCATGTATTTATTTATATTGTGATATGTTTCAGGCGTTATGCACGTTGGTTTGGGAAGTCAAGAGACAAGACTCCACAAATGTCAAGCTACTGTCTACAAAATTACAAAATGTGGGAGGAGAAGATTGAAGCCTGGCAAAATCCCATATTAAATTGCAGGTATAATGATGTGGGAGTATTTTTTAGCTCAACTTTTTGAAATAGGGAGACCTTATGAACTGTACAGGTGCGTAGTTGCTGTCACAATTTGGTTAAATTTTTGCAAAGAAGATGGTATTTCCAAAATTATTTTTAGGGAATGAGTTGAAAGCATGATATGAGGCCACTGTCTAAGGCTCATAATTATAGCATGAGTTTTGACATAATTATGGTCCTTTTTAAAATCTACATTACTCAGACTCTAATTTGACTATCAAGCACTGAAAAATGTCAAACATGCTTTCCTACTGACAGCTCTGGTGAATTTCTAATTGTGTGTCCCAAATATTGAAAATTATGATTTGTGGATTTTTAAGTTTTATTATCAAGATTGTCACTGTTATGCATTGATGTCACAGTAGAATGTTGCACAAATCACATCTCATTGAGATTTCCCTTGAAATGTGAGATAACTTTTGTTTGCTTAAATTTTAGCCAATAAGATATTGAATTTAAGTCACAAATATTTTCTCATCTCAAAATAATAGTTCACATAGGGGCTCTTGAGATCTTTCTATACCAGTGAAGCTAGAAAGTCATTACAATTTTTACAGTATTTTTGTGACTTAAAACCTAAATAATATGAGCCGCGTCATGACAAAACCAACATAATGCGTTGGCCACCAGCATGGATCCAGACCAGCCAGCGCATCCGCGCAGTCTGATCAGGATCCATGCTGTTCGCTTACCGACTCTATTACAAGTAGAGAAACTGACAGCGAACAGCATGGGTCCTGATCAGACTGCACTGATGCGCAGGCTGGTCTGGATCCATGCTGGTCGCAAACCCACTATGTTGGTTTTGTCGTGATGCGGCTCATATTATCTGTATTATAGATATATTAAGTGAAATGGTAAAGACATAACAATTCATACATTTTTCTGTACAGTGAAATACCCAACTGGTACAAGTCATTTTTATTCAATGAGTTATATTATGTGGCTGATGGTGGCACTGTTTGGCTTGATGCAATGTTCGATGATGGTGAGGGGGAAGTAGAAGACAAGTCTGAAGTACATTCCATTGTGCAGGAGTTTGGAAAATTTGCCTATCTTGAAGGTTTTTGTGTTTTTCACATTGGCACACTTATTTTTCTCTCTCTTACAATGAAGATTAATGTTATGTATCTTTTATTAAGTTAACAATATAATATGTAATGATGATATTGCCATTGCAAAAGCTCTTATCCCTCCTCACTTTTGTGGAATGGGAACTAAGCAGCTTGTAACAGACAGTAATGCATAGATGAAAAGATCTAAGGCTTCATTATAACAGATCAAAGAAAGAATAAAAAGTGTTAATTTGATTCAGAGAAATGTCATTAAACAGGTCCCTTTTGTAATCATTAATGTGAATATTTGTATACATGTATTGTGTCAACTTCCATAAACAAATTGTGCTGATTTGAAAAGAAAAATTAGTTTATATTTGTGCATATCTCACATTAGATTAATTAAAAAGAGGCAAAAATATAAATATCTGAAAAAAGATGCTTATAAAAATATGTTCTTATATTCTACATGTAATTGGTACCATAAAATGAGAAAACTAAACTTTATTGTACTGATGACTTTATATTCTATATTTGTACATTTATAGGTCATGAATACCGCATGTATAACACCTATGATGTTCATTTCTATGCATCATTTGCTCTGATCATGTTATGGCCCAAGCTGCAACTCTCACTACAATATGATCTAGGTGAGTTACCTCCCTTCAATAAGTAATGTATGATAATATGAATGGATTACCATAAAGCATTTGTCTGTAAACCAAAAATTGTCTTAAAAATGTATTTTTACATGAATTATGAAATTATTTAACATACATTTGTTATACATTTGTTTAACTATACAGCCAAACTTGTATTCGGCATCTGGCCAAGTGATACACCAAAATTCGATGCTTTTTACAACAGTATCTTAAGACAAAGCATGAGAAAAAAAAATCAACATTTAATCATGATATCTTTCCTTTGGAGAAGAGGAGTCATTTATATATACATTGTATATATATATATCAATCATTCAGCTGTTATTTATAAAATAAGCATCCTATCTAAAGTACAAATACAAAGCATTTTAGATTAATGTTTCATCAGAATGATTATTTGTGATATGATTTTAGTTGAGGTAGAGGCATGTCAAAAATACCAAACACTTGCAGTACGCTTGAATATTACACAGACTGTAAGATTTGTCAAGGGATACTATAAGAATATCGATGTTATAATTTCAATTTTTAGCTTTTCAGTCATAATATAGGTCATTTCATTATCAAAATTCCAGCTGCTTACACTGTAAAGACTTGCAAGATAGCCTGGCTCAACAAATTTGCTGTTGACTTTGCATAAAATAAATTGGAATTCATGATTACAGCTAGGATGACAGGGATATAACATTTATAATTATTTTGTTTTGCAGGTAAAGCTGTAATATCAGAAGACCAGGAACGGATGAAGTTCTGTATGGGTGGTTCAGTGGGCGACCGCAAAGTTTTAAACACAGTACCTCATGATATGGGAGATCCAGGTAATATCTAGAAACATTTCAGTTATTTAAATCTAAGCTTACTAGCTGAAACAGATTCTATACTTGTGACCATTGCAGACAAAGATAAGAAGGTACTGCTTGATAGTGGTTTGCACTATTTGCTATTCCATCAGTATAACTTCTAAAATTTCTTTAAAAGTAAAGAAGGACTCTTTTAAAGTGAGGAATTATTACATTAAAAACTAAAAGATGAAAATGTTCATTTAAGATATTATATTCCAAGAAAAAGACTGGTTTGAGGTTTTATAGTTTATGGTTTAATACATAATTTGGTGAATTTTAGACTCTAATTAAAAGTTTGTTGTTTTATAGTTTATACAAATGTCTTTAAACTTTCAAGCAGTACTACAGATAACTGTAGACAGGCATATTATATATCTGTAAACTTCAGGTATAAAAAATCATCTATAATAAGGAAATATGGAGATGATTTTAAGTCTTGTATTCAAATTAAATGTCAAGGTCTAATGGGAAAGGAGAGCAAATGGCATTTGCCTCAGAGCTTTTTAAACTCAAAGTCCCATATAGGGCATCAGATGTCACAGGATGAGGAAAATATACAATCCAATGTGGGATCCTCATTATACTGTTCTGTGACTCTACAATTGATCTACCAAAAAGTATACAAAGCTTCTCCCTAATATAAAGAAACCATTCCATACTATGGCAGTCATCAAATTTAGCCCATGGCAAGTAAAAATAAGTTCGGGCCAGTGTAAATTTATAGAAAATTTAGTTAAATATATAGTAGAATAAATTCATAACTGGAATTCGGGCCAGTAAATTCAAAATCTTAAATTCAATGACTGCTATGATGTAACAATGTCTCCAAATCCTTTTTTCTTGTAATGTACTTATGGTCATAAACATTAAATAAATTTATATTTTATCATGATAATCAACAGAGGATGAACCATGGGTTAGAGTGAATTCCTACAACATACATCCAACAGTAGACTGGAAGGATTTGAATCTCAAGTTTGTTCTTCAAGTGTACAGAGATTACTTCGCCACGGATGATAAAGCCTACCTTGAGTACATGTATCCAATTATGAAGGTATGATTTAATTAAGATACCTAATTAAAATCAATGCATGGTTGAAAAAACCAATTAATAAGTTGTAATTGGATAATCTTGTGTTTAATACAAGTCATATACCTGAGATGATCTGTGGTTCTTGCTTCCTCTGATATACAGCTATTAATAGCATCATCTGTATGGCAGTTTATTATGTTAATATATGAAAAATGATTTATTTCCCTTTAATTCATATTTTACACTATATACTTAAGTTGGAAAGAATCCTACCTGTATAAATTATTAATGATTAAGTACTTGCAGTGAATAGTGATAAAATAAAATCTGCTGGTCCTGACTTAGAATGGCATACTTTGTTTGTATTAAGCTGTACAGTATGGTATGGATATACTAAAACAGATTTTTGAAAGTATGCTCGCCCATAAGGTAATTATTCCAGAGGCGAGGGTTAGACACCTAAACACACCCAGAGGAAATAATAAAAAATGTTTAATTCAATTTGTTCGTGCAATTTACAGAAAAGATATACATGTGTAAAGGATTTATGTTTGTTATGAGTACAGAATGTGGTGCTATAAATTACTCTACTTCATTTCAACCTTGGATATATTGAGTGATGTGCCTATTCACTTAAAGTATAACTTGTGGTTTACAGGTTTTGATGGAGAGATCATTACAATGGGATAAAGACAACGATGGTCTTATAGAAAATGGTGGATTTGCTGACCAAACTTTTGATGCCTGGGTTGTTCATGGAGCCAGGTATTCATTTTAATAATTCATTTTATTTTAGACACAGCTAAGTAAAGGAGGCATTCCATGGCTTTTATATGTCATCTTGTAATTTTACAGATAAGGGTAGCTATGAGTACCAGGTATGGTAATTTCTAAGAAAGTTGCATACCAAACATTCATGAGGGGTTATAGACTTCAGTGTTAAAGCCTCTTAAAAACACAAATTGTTGTCTGAATTACTGCCTGTTTGTTTATTAACTGTGGCTTGCAAATATGAATTTTGATATCCATTATTCACACTTATCTAAAAAAAAATTTCTAGTGACTGTGTTGCTGATTTAAGTCTTAAATTAACAGACTTCAACAGAAAGAAACCAAAAACAAGAAATTAAGCACATCCTAGAAGGTGTGTAGTGTAGTAGAACATATTCCATATAATGTTTTACAGATAAATCATTGAGTAGTTTTTAACATATAGAATTGTCACTTTTTACCATGTGCAAGGAATAATAATCTGTTATTTTTCCCAATGTTTATCACAAATTGTCTTTGATCTTTTGTATATATTCAATTTTCAGTGCATATTGTGGGGGTTTATGGCTTTGTGCTTTAAGAATGTTTGTGGAATCAGCAAAAATTCTAAATGAGAAAGAAGACCTGGAAAAGTACACAACTATTCTAAATAAAGCCAAAGAATCATATGAAATAAAACTGTGGAATGGTAAATTATTTTTCTTATACTGTATTTGTACTTGTATCATAGAATTTGGAGACTTTACAATTGAAAACATGTCAGAGTTAAATCGTTCACCAATACCTGCACAGTGCGTTAACTGAAGTACAGGTATTTGTTATCTACACTCTCTGTCTATCTAGAGCATGCTCATTGATTGGCTCATTTTTCCTGGGGTTTACTTAATGTGATGACAGGGAAAGAGATGACAATAGAAAAGTCATAATCAGATGGTCATACATTGGTTACTTTTTTTCTGGGATTTAATATTGTGACGACAGGGAACCTGTTATTATTTTTGCCTATGATACTAAAGATAAAGAACATCAAAACACTCGACAATCAAATTTATACTCGGGGGTCCTAACCCTCCTCTTGTACCAATCAGATAGACTCATGTTTGGATGCTCTTTCTATTACATAATGTTATTAATAATCAATAATCTGGTATTATTATAGAGTGCACTTGATTTCCTAAAGAAAAAAAAGCTTTAAAGTTGACACATGTCCTTAATCAATTTCCTTAGAAAAGTTGTTAGAAGTGATATAAAAAAATGCCTTTTAAAGTAAAGATTAAACTGCTCATGACATAAAAAAATATTTTATGTGAAATTGTCCAAGCCATACATGAGTGTTACTAATCATGATAGTTTTGTATTGACAGGTCATTACTACAACTATGACTGTAGTACATGTGGTAACCATGACAGCATTATGGCTGACCAGCTAGCTGGTAACTGGTACATGAAGGCATCCGGCATCATTGATAATACGGTAACAACACTTCTATTTTACCTATTTCTGGCATGATTATTCATAGACTGCATATGATAACTATCCTTTTCACATCAACATGACAGTCTGTTAAGGTTTAGCATTTTCATTTCATAATTTAGGTGTTCTTTTGTAACTTCACACACATCATGTGGATCATGGTTGTATTTCATTGAAAGAGACAAATAACTCTAACATGTATTTTGAATGGATTCTTCCCCTTTGCTGCCTTTTATCAGTTCTTCTTTTTAAAAATTGAATAAGTTGCCAGATGAAAATGCAACCCATTGTCCACTTCTGTTTCAAATGATTAATATTGAATTGTGAAATGTTATATTTACTATAGTAAATGAGGCTAGTAATTGAACTGAATGTAGGGTCACATAATTAAACTGGCTTTAAAGTGAAGTAAACGAAATTATCCTTTGCTTAGGTTATTTCACCTTATGTTCAGTCTATCATTTACACACTGTTACCAGATTTTTGTTGTCTTAATTGTCTGCTATTTCTGATATTTTTCAACTTAATAATGAATATTTGGTTACATTGATGTTAAACTAACATCAACAAGACACTTGATTATTTTATAATGATTCTGTGATGTTATAATAAATAAGACAATATTGACTGTGAAAATTATCTCAATTTATGATGTTTTAGGTATTCCCAGAGGATCATGTAAAGACAGCATTGAAAACTGTTTTCAAGAGCAATGTGATGGGCTTTGCGGATGGAAACATGGGAGCTATCAATGGAACACGACCAGATGGTCAGAAGGATATAACTAGCTGTCAGTCAGAGGAATTCTGGACAGGCGTTACATCAGGTCTGGCTGCACAAATGGTTCAAGAGGTACTCAACATATTTTTCTTCCCCAGATTTTGCTCCTCATTGCTGTGGGTTCAAATTAGATCTGGTTATCATTGCTGAAAATGTATCATCATATTATTATGATATCTTGGTTGTATCAGGATATATTATCATGATACTTACATTAAGGCAAAATAGATGTAAATGACAATGCTCAAGTATTTCTATGATTATAAGATGATACCAAAATTCTGTTTTATATCTTGTCGTGGTGACTAGATCTTGACTAGAACAAACTTTAAATCACTAAATGATTATCTACACATCATCTCCTCTGCCTTCTGATATATCATAAAATGATAATAATTCCCAGACTCTGGAACTACAGCAATGTTTAAACAGTTAAGTCAGATTTTAAAAGGAATATATTGCCATGTATTAATACCCCAGATGACATTTATAGTGCCACTGCGACTGGAAAGTTATAATGATAATTTTGGCTAATTGTATCTGCATTTGTTTGTTGAATATATTCTTATTTATGAATACCATTTTCAATCTACTGTCTAGAATATAGGGTTAGAGATTATAGCTCAAACTCAGATCTCAGGTATTTGATTGGTCAGAAACTTGCACTGACTTTACACTGACCAATGAAATTTGTGACTTTTGAGATGGAGCTTTGGTAAATGATATATAATCTGGAGGCCAGTTCAAATGTAAAGATAAGTCAGACAGTACTGATAGAAATGATTTTTGCATTTAAATTCTAATTTCAAGTGATTCATTAAACCTAAATCTATAAATAGCAACACATTTTGTACACCTTATTTGTCAGTGATAAATATGGCATAGACCTTGTATGCAGTTTGTTATGCTACCATAATGTCCTGAGCAAAGCTTATAAAGTCATGTGCCTCATAATCTGTGATTGGTTTGTCTCAGATTTACTTTAAGAATTGTGTGCTTTAATAAATGTCAAATTTTGGATCTGTATTCAGGGCATGTTAGACGAGGCATTTAAGACGGCATGGGGAAATTATAATGTCTGCTGGGAATGGCTTGGATTCATGTTTCAGTCCCCTGAAGCATACATGACAAGTAAACATTTCCGTTCATTGGGCTACATGCGGGCATTGGCTGTGTGGTCGATACAGTGGGCCTTGGAAAAATATCATCCTCATCTGTTTAAAAGTTGATGATCTGTGATCTTTAGATAGATAGATAGTTAACAACAAATAGGTAGAAAATATTTGGTATAGAACATTAACTTTGGATTTATAGGAAAATCATTCATCAGGGATTAACCAAAGATGTATTTCGTCTTTTTAAGTTTTTCAAGAGTTGAATGAATTTTATTTCTTAAAATTATGTTATCCTTTCATCCTTGAAATCCAACAATTGAAAGCTTTAGACTTTGGTAACTTGAAGTCCAAATTTCTTTGATCTTTTGATTTTATAATGATAATATATGTCTTTCTGTATGTTGTGAATTAATTGTTTCACAAATGTAAGACACAGTGTGATCATTTTTATTTTTTTTACTCTTCTTTCTGGCTGTTGGTTTAAATGGACATTTTAATTTTTCTATATAAGGTAACTATATAGCTAGTTAATGGAAGATCTATTGCAAAGCCCAACTTTGCCTAAAATAATGCTCATGTTGGGGCATATATTATCAGCATCTATTTTTATAAATCTGGTAAATCCCCATATTATTGTAACATAGTCACCTAAACTTACTTAAATCCCACCTAAATTATGTAACATTTTTATGGATGATATGGGTTAAGTCAAGTTACAAACTTAAGATATAAATTGTACTGTACTTCTAGCTTGAAAGTTAAAGGCACTTTATGCCTCATAAACAAATAAATTTTAATTTTTTAGAAGAGACAAACTTGAAATTTATAATATTGAAATACAGGTAACTGTTTTAGAGCATGTTAGATGTTTGTTACCTGAAAAAAGTATCTAGTGATGAATATGAAATAATTTGTGATGAAAGTAGCTAAATGTAAATAAAGTGGTATTTTGACTTCCAAAGGTTTTGAGTTATAAAAATAAAAACATACCTGACACATAATAGGTCTTAAATAATATGAACATTTGTTATTGCTATCCTGTATGTTTAGATATTTTAGCATGACTATTTTAAAAGTTGTATAATTTTGCTGTACATCTCTGTGTTGGTGTATGAGTAAAACATATCATAAAAGTTTTACACACATCTTCATTTCTCATTAACCACTGAAGGTACTCGTTTGAAATATTACACATCTTCAGGGTCACGATTGTGGGTCACTGTTTAAGACCCACAACTCTAAACATGGAACTTTACAGACTTATACCTTTCTGAACTGAGAGGGTCTTAACCTCTTACCATGCTAAATATCTTAAAATGACCTAGCCCTTCTTTTATTCTGGACAAAACTGTTAATTATTTTTTTAATCTGGAGAAAATTTTGAAATATATACTGGCTGTATAAAGAACAGTCAAGACCATGATCATACGGCACAGAGGTGCTGGCTAATCTTGGTATATACTTGTCATATGGGTAGATACAGTCGCTGCCAGCATATTTGCAGGAGGCAAGTTAATTTCAAGTTGCAGTAATTAAATTAATCATGATCTCAATTTTTTTTTTTTAGGATTAATAATTTATATTGTCCAATGAAATAATAGAGTTTATAGAAATGAACCATCGGCCAATTACATAGTTTTTTTTTATGAAAAACATGTGAAAATTGTGTCAGTTATTTTTATCTAAGATGCTTCTTTAATGTAAAGAATCGTCTGTTTTTAATTGATAGTTCAGTAATATAACTTAACTACGGAAGTTTAGTGGTTGTGCTATATTCAATCAAAATTATAATATACCTAGCATTATATATATATTTATCTATGCAGTCTATAATGATCTTTAACTATCACTCAAAATGTCAATATTGCTAAGAAACAGCATTTATTAGTAAAGCTCATTATTCAATGCTTTGTCAGAAACACATCATGTACATGTATATAAAGTGTTTTGTTAATCTCTTACTATTGATAGTCAATTACTATGAATTATCTTTCATTTTCAACTACAGTAGTCCTGCCTTTTTATACCTTTATCAATTATTAATGATAAGCTATAGTATTCACAACTACCTTTTTAAATCTTGATATGCATATTATAAATATTTAGGTCATAGAATATTAGACAAAGTTCTAACACAAGCTCTTCTTTAAAGTTTTGAAATTTTGAAAAATTTATGATGTCTAGAACTGATTCAAATGTTGTATATTTGGGTTTTTTTTGTCCCCTTTTTTCTTGCACATACATGTATACTTATTACATTTCTAGCTTGTTATATTTTCATATGATCAAACTCAGTTTGACAACATTTTAGCACAGGTATAGTTAAACATTAGGCATTTTTTTAAAATTCTAATACCTCTTTTGCTAAATTCTGTATAGCATTCTATTTTTGATATTTTGTTCACTTCTAAGGCAATTTTCTTTAATCTTATACTTCTTTTGATATGTTCTAGCATTCTGTAAATTTCTTCATTTCTTTTTTAATGTCAATCATGTATATGTAACCTGTTTTCTCTTCTGACAATGCTTTTAACTTTTTTTATTGTAAATTTGTAATTTTGAGAGGTGATCATTGAGAGAATAGAGTGAATGTTTCACTGGTATTCTTAATATATCTGCAATATTATGTTATATGTATAGTTTAATTTCTTATTATACATATGTATATGTTTATTACTTAATATATGTGATTATACAGGTGTATATGATATGTCATTTTTTGATGGGAGGGCTTTTGTCTGGGAGGGCTTTTGTTCGTTTCCCATATATAATGTTAATAAAATAAATTAGTAATGTGTATTCTTATTATATTTTTGAGACTTTTGAAATGTCTTTAAGAATATACTTTTTTTGACACATTACATTTTTAAATTTTTTGATTGTATATTAAAAGATAAAGGTAAGGAAACATGATCAGGTTTGGTTAAGATTTTCTGTGTTGAATTCTTGAAAGTAAAAAAAAAAAAATTACATGTATTTCCTTTTTGTGTTTGATAATTTTAACACTGATTTAGCAAAGAAATTGTTCAGCTATGCTTTGTGTGTGTTATGTTTTTACTGTAAGAAAAGAATATTGAAAACTTTATCACAATGAAAAAATCAGTTGCATCAAACAAACTTTGCTTAACATTATTTAATTCTTACCATTGGATTATAATTTTGCATTTCTATTTGTTTTGTTTCTTTCTAATTGTTAAACTTTGGCATACATGTATTTGTTGATTTAATGCTTTGATTAACTATTTAAAACAAACTTGGTAAAATATTATTACATGACTTTCTGAGTTATACTATTTTGGCGGATGTTGACCAAAAAAAAACCCAATTCATTAATTTATCAAACTATAATGCACACCAGAATTAAGTGTACTTTTATATTCTATATGCAGTGTACTTTTGATAAGCCAATCACCCGGAAATTGTTCAATTATTATCGTGAAGAAAGGACTTAGTTTATTATTTTCTTTATTTTTGTAAAAAAAAAATAAAGCTGAAATTTGAAAAAAAACCACATTATTTCCATGTTGAAGATTTGATGTACACTCCTCCAAATCCTTAACCTACTGAATTTCTTGATCAGTGTTCTATTTTGGAACTGTCCATTATAAGTTTTTGGGAAACAAAGATGAAGATATTAAGTTTGTCTCCCAGTAGTGAAGATCAGACTGAATGATGCACGAAAGCTGGAAAGTCTCTGTATAACCTTTATATTGTTGATATGACTAAAAATCCAACAAAAACTACAAAACATGGACATCATCTTAGCATGTGATAAATGTATTAGAAATGATCTGTTGGGTAGTACTTTTCAACATGGGTTAACTTAGATTTGGTCATATGCAATAGATGACAAGTAGAGCTTAAAAGAAGAAACAAAAAATCAGTTTTGACTTGAGAAATATTAACTGCAAATTCTTTGGTAGATTCTTGGATTAGGGATACAGGTGCTGTGTTGTTGATCATGATGAAATTATTGAACAAGAAATATATGTTACCATATAAACTAGGAGAGAATTTCAGGGTCTAGTGCAAGACTAGCTGTTTTATAAATAAAGCTTTGAATTAAAAATAGCTATAAAAATAACAGTTATTTTCTGATTTTTGTTTAGTTAGTTTAGTTGATTTTTTTTTTACAATGTGTTCATCAATTTAAATCAAAACAGTCACATTTTAAAGTATTGGTATCTGTATATGGCATTCCTTTATTTATTTTTTTCTTTATTTTTTGTTTCGTAGTTCTAATAAAGTATAGGTTTTATGTTTGTAAAGTGTTCTTTGTGTTTTTGTTGTTTTTTTATTAAGTTGAATAAGACATATTTTATTAATATATAAATTAAAATGCATTTAATCAAAGATAGTAAAGTTACTTTTATATAATCATTTATAAAGCACTAGAGATGCATCCCCCCAGATTTGCCAAAATATTTTAAGAAAATCAAACTTGAGAAAAATGTACTGAATTTTTTTTTAAAAAAAGGACTGAAGATTCAAATTATAATTTACACACTATATGCAATTGATGGCTGATTTTGCAGTATTAATCTCCGTATTTCTACTGCATGACTAATACAATAAGGGCTGTTTTTTGCATATTTTGACATCTTGTTGGTAAATTAACACAGATTTTAAGTGCCTTTTTGCAATGTGTAAATAACTTTCTCAATTCACTTCACAATATTTTACTTTCAATACTTTTTCAATTTTTTTTTGAAAATTCAAGTGAATCTTGAGGCGTGCTGCTTAAGGATGGCACTTAGATGATAAATTTTCTTAGCTAAAACAAATTAAATCTATATACCTATAGGCTATTCTAAGGTTTTTTTACTACAATTAAAATGTGAAGAGGTCAGTTACTTACTGAAATGACTTTTATTTTAATGTTTTTATGGTCTTTCCCATGAACAACCAGGAATAAATTTGTTATCATTGTAAATGGTATACATTTTTTGGAACTGGGATTCAAAGTTGGCGTCAGTTTGACGCCTTTACATCATCTTTATTATTCATCAACTGACAAAGCTACAAAAACATGTGATAAAAGTGAAACATGTGTTGACAGATTGCATTTCTTTTTGAATCTCTTCATCATCGGGCCTGGGGTTACAAATTCACATAGTTTTTTCTAGATCTTATATGAATAATTAACACATGTTGTCACCTTAGTGCAGAAATGGGTTAAGTTGTTCTAAATTTAATAAGAGTTAACCAGTTATTGCACTAAGGTGACGATGTGTGACCTGTAATATTGAGTCTGTTTTAGGAAAGTTTGGTGTTTCTTTCGAGGATATCAACCCCTTATATGATTATATACTTGTATGTAGGATAGATTGAAGCACCAATAAAACATCTTATCATACTTGCCAAACATTATTATTATATACCTTTTACTTGGGTTATAATTATTTTATTATATATTTCATGTAAATTCCTATCTTTCATTTTGTTTTTTCTTACTTGACTGTATAGACTATAGATAAGGTTTATATGCATGATGGTTTGAAGAAATTTTTGTCTCACTTACCACACGCTTAATACTGCATACTAATTTTACACCACAGATTTCATTTTCATACAAACCCCCCACCCGATCAAGAGAAAAAGAAAATAGATAAATTTATATACATACTGGAACTTTGATTTACTTTATCTTGTTTTGTTACCATAATGGTGCTTTTGTCTTTGCTTTGATACATATACACTGTTCTGATATGATTTGCACTGTTCAGTTTTCAGTTCTCTTATATATTTTGTTGTTGTTTTCTTTCTGTTTTTTTTTCTATTTTGCATTTGTATTGTTATTATTATTATTATTATATGTATTAACTATTTCATCACTGTGATAAAGAAAGACCCTTAAAGGGATGTTGAACAAAACCATTCCATGATAGACCTGGGAAATTATGTGTTCTTTTTTAATTTTTTTTTTGCTCCATGTTTAAATCATTTAAATGGCAAAACTGCATTTACTTATTATAAGTTTTCTGATTAAAATCCAGTCATTTTTTCACCAGGAGAGATACAACAGTATGGATCAGTTTTTACAATATTCCACACTTTGTATGCCACTCTTAACTTATCCTCAGTCATTATGTCCTTAAAGTATGTTGACATTTTATTCATACTACATAATAATTCCTTTAACAGAAGGCATATGATAAAAAGAAAAATTACAAGAGTGTGCAGTTATGGTGGATAATAATACTCTTGTTGATTGTAAAATATTGTATTCACAACTATTTTGTTTTTGGGAATCCAAAGTACACGATCAGTGATAGCGATTCAAACCATCAAAATAGGTTAAACCAATGTTAATAGTTATAGAAAGAATACAGTTTTTTTATTGAAATAATCTTTTTAATTGTCCTCATGATAAAGCTTGCCATGTTTGAAAATTCTTTTTTAAATTCATGTTATGCTTTGACCTGCTTATTTAAAAAGATGTATTATTCAGATATCATTTATAAACATATCAATATTATATAAATTATGCATGATTAATAATAATATAAGTGATGTACACTTTCTTTTATGATGTTTACTGCTTGACCATACTCTATAACTCTAGGCTACTTGGCCAGACTCTATAACTGTTGACTGTTTGACCTCACTCTATAACTGTTCACAGCTTGACCAAATTCTAAAACTGTATATAACTGTATGCTACTTGGCCAGACTATAACTGTTGACTACTTGGTCAGACTATAACTGTATGCTACTTGGCCAGACTATAACTGTTGACTACTTGGTCAAACTCTATAACTGTAGGATGCTTGCCCAGACTCTTTAACTGTTGTCAAGTTAACCAGACTCTATAAGTGTTGACTGCTTGGCCAGACTCTTACTGTTGGCTGCTTGGCCAGACTCTATCACTGTTGACTGCATAGCCAGACTATATAACCGTTGGCTAGACTCTATAACTGTTAACTGCTTCGCCAGACTCTATAACTGTAGGTTACTTGGCAAGACTATAACTGTTGGCTGCTTTGCCAGACTCTATAACTGTTGACTGCTTGACCAGACTATAACTGTTGGCTGCTTGACCAGACTCTATAAATGTTCAAAACTTGGCTTTATTTACTTTAATTCTTCACTATTAGCACAGACATGCACGTTTTCCTTCTCGTTTTATAACAAAATATTTTATATGGTATGCAATAAACTTATATATTTGAAAATTGGTCTCTGTTTTTACTTTCACTATAATTATCCAGTTTATGTGTGAGGGGTTGCCTTTAAGGGTTGAAACTTCAGAATTGCAGCCACCTTTTATCTCTGCGTAATCTTAAGAGGCCAATAAATGGGTTAGAATAAAGTTTTAACGGTCAACGGTTATTGCTTTAAGTTTCATCTTTCCAGTTTCGGCACCTTATGACCTAAATTATGTTGGTCCGCCGTATAACAAAATAAACACATTCTGGTAAATCAGTGATTATTATACTATACTTTGCAACAAAGTAACTGTTTATACAACAAAGTAAGTGTATATACATCAAAGCAAGTGTATATAGAAAATTGGTAAATATATAGGTCATTGAACCATTGATAAATCATTTTTAGTCATTATAAATTGTAATGAGAAATATAAGACGGCCTTTTAAGACTGTTAATAATTATTTATGTGATAGCCTTCAGTGACTCGGTTCTTTTCTGTATTTTAACCAGACTTTCACAGAATGATTGCACGTAAAGTTGGGATTTTTCAATCTTTTGCCAAATGTGTTTCCACATTGGAGTTATTTGCATGGACAGGTTGATTAAATGCAAAACTTTTTTTATTTATTATTTGAAACATCACAATGCACAAATTTATCATAAAAAAACATATACCGACTGTGAAACGGGCGTTCAGGGTTCGATTCCCAGACGGCGCAGGATCGATCCTGAAATACTTTCTACGGGGTCATTTGCACTGTATGTACAGAAATTATCAGTTCCTTGCGAAAGTGAAAGCAAATGGTACTGGTAAACTGCTTGACAGCCTGCTCAAGAACGAGCTCTGGTAAATACTATGTGGTTTACTGCCGAGATTCGGAGTGAAAACTACCAACAACACCACCACACACGTGGGCTACTATTATAGTGAAATTCTTGCCAGAGAGATGTATAGATGGACGTTGGTGGGTATTTGCTATAAAGACAGCGATTGGTTTGTTCACAAGACAGTGACTTTAACCCTTAAAGGGCAATTACATTTTATGTTGTTTCAGTGGTTCATTATCATCTCCGAGTAACGTGATTAATACATATTAATAAGTAATACAATTCCTGTACGCTGACTGAAATGAACAATAATTTGAAACGCATTAGTTTTGCAATGTTTATAATATATGTACGTTTTGATATAATTACCTCATATAACAGTACACAAAATCGCGTGATTTTGTTTATTTAATTTTTTTTATATTTCTGGCCTACACATTGTACAACATGTGTTATTTGATTGAAGTATATGCAGTTTCCTTGAAAGTGTATATCTTACATTTTGCTATCCCTTACCTGAAACATAAG